GAACTAAAAAACTATTGTTGAGAGAACTCAAAAGTCTTACTGCATCAAGTTGCCTTATTATGTTACGTTTTCTCAACTATTTATTTTTTACAGTGCAGAGCAGAGCAGGCTCACGGAAAGGAGGGGTTTAGAGAGACTGAATCTTTGAACTGCTTCGAACGAATCGTTTGAGAATCGCTGGAAAATTAGGTGATATTAAATGGATATTTTGTGAAAACGAAAGCGTTTTTTTGACCTTGCATGCATGTAATCCTATTGTAGGAGACTCCCAAAACAATATTAGGAACCGTAAAATGGCATAATAGGGGCACTTTAAATTTTATTGAAATAACATTTTAACAAAAGTATTATGAAAAATACTATAGAAAAATAATAAATATAATAAACCAGGTACAAACACTGATCTGTCTAACCTGACCACATAAACTTGGATCAAACAAGAAGGATGTTTTGGGTTTAAAATTGTTAAAGTTCCATATGAAAGCACAATAATAGTGACATGTAGGCCAAGTATGGTAAAATTCCATGTGCTCCGTGCTCTGCATTTCACCCATCTAAGTCCACACACACAGCAGTGAGTAGTGAACACACACACACACACACAAAAAGCAGTGGGCAGTAGGGCTGCACAATTAATCGAATTTCTAATCGCGATTACAATTATGAATGCCACAATTACGTAAACGTTCAAAGCGGCAATTAATCGTTCGCAGCCATTTTTGCTGCGGGGAGAAATTGGGGGTTCGATGCCTTTCTCTAGGGCAGCTCAGTCCTAATAGGTATTGAGAGTGGAAGAGAGCCGTCCATTCACTCTCTCCACCTACATTTCCTGCCGGTACCGAGACTCGAACCTGCGACCTTCGGGTTAAGTCCAACTCTTTAACCATTAGGCCACAATTGCCCTAACAATTGCCCTACAGTCACTCAGAACTGCTTCCATACTGACTTTATCATTACACAAACACTCCAAAGAGTGAATCCAAACACAATGCTTCAACATAGTGTTCTTCTCAGTCAATGTTTAAGCAAAACAGCAGCTTTAAATCAACTTTCAAAAAGGTTTAAGTTGGCCCTAGTGCTGATGAGAAAGAGAAAGAGCTTAATTCTGATGTGAATGATAAAAACTCAAGCCATGTCTGGCTAGTGTACAGTAAGCCGCTGTGCTCACGTGTGTTACCCTGTGACAGGCTCTGGCACTAAATCAGATACAGAACAGGTCAGATAAAGATACTAAGTATCTCTCCAGTCCAGCTACAAGCAACATGATCACTAAAGACACACTAGCCAAGAAAGACCAAGAACACATGCTACACAATGACCATTACAGAACACCTTGAAAAACACCACTAATGGTGCCAAAGATCACTTCAAAAATAATACTTAGAAAATAATAAAACTTGAAATGAATGCAACTTTATTTGGTAAATGAACCAATAAATCATCATTTAAAAGCATCAGAGGTAAAGATACACCAGGCAGATCAATTACTAATACTAATTTTTATAACAATTTTCTAATGTCAAATCAATGCGGTGAAGCCAAACATGATGAAATATGAATAACTATTCATTTTGAGATCTGCTGAAGTCTATTTGAATTAAAAAAAAAAAAAAGTAGGTGTGATGGTAATTTGGGGAAAGCACTTCTAGAAAAGGGTCTTGCATTTGAGATAAAACCCAAGTTGATGCTCTCCTACATTATGACAGAAAACACAAAATATAGTTTCCCAGTGCCTGGTTGCATGAAAGCCTTTAAGTAATTTGACTTAAGGATATCCCTGAGGCAAGGGATTTATTTAAGAGCGTTTCAACAAACCTCTTAACCGTCACCCTTATCTAAGTGTTTAAACTAAGCGTTTCAAGTTAGTTTCTGGCAACATACAGCAATGGGTGCCGTGGCCGCTTTAGTTACTACATCTCACAATAAACAGAACAAACCACAAACCTAACCTTTGCTACAACCACAGTTATACTAACATATCTGCGTTATGGAGAATACCAAGATCACAGAAAAAAAAACGTAAACCAAACTGGACTGTGGTGAGACGAAGGATTTAATGACGGTCAAACTAGGGCTGGGCGATATAGCTAAAAAATGTATATCAACGATATAATGTTTCATATCGTTCGGTATCGATAATTATTGACTTTTATAACCTTTTTTTAAAACAAAGAGCGATAGAAAAAAATGGTTTACATTTAACCACTGTGTTTTTAAATTAACCCAATTTATTGAATCAAACAACAAATATTTTTTTGTTTTAACAGTCAAACACAAAATAAAAATTAAACAAATATCTTATTTCTAATGTTTTATATGCAGATTAAATAGGTTTTAAGGAAACTTTTGGCGTGTTTCCCGAGGCCACAGGAGGGCGCAATGAGCAAAACTAGATTAAAAAAAAGTTATAAACACAACCGTCATAAGTTATGCAACAAAGGAAATAACTGTCTATAAAAAAAACGTGCATTACGTCTAAATTAACTCATATGAATCAAATATAATTTCGTAAATTGCATAAACAATTACGAACAAAACAGCATCATGTATTTCTGCATTGCTTAATACAAAGAGCCGAATCGGCCACTACACAGATTGCCTTTAAAAACATACGAGACGCAGTGAAAAGGAATAAACCTCCACAAATTCGTGACGTGTTTTCTAAAAGTTTAAACTGTTTTAACTTTGCATGGCTACATCTCTTGTGTGAGACGCGAGTGCAGCAGTCGTATTTGTCCGTCTAAAAAATGCGCTGAATATGCGTTCTGTGTGAATGGCTTGGTTTCGGTTTTAACCTAATCAAGATTAGCTACTATTACTATATTTCTCTAATATTTTGAATGCATAACGCAGCAGCGGTGCGTCTCGTGGGCTAGACTAACAAAAAATTAAAATGCAACAACGTCACTTACATCATCATCACCGCATCTCAGACGCACACCTAACATTTGATTGTACTATTTTTGCATTCAAATACAAATGTTTATTTTAAATTCAACTAATATTAATTTTTTTTATTCACAATTTCCTCATCACAGGCAGCCACAGCACTCAATTCAGCATGTGTTCGTGCTCCTGTGGGCCGTCTGCGTCACATAGCACATGCCTATATCGTGCACTATATCGAACATCTTT